CACCTGCTCAGGCTGACATTCACGGTTCTGAGGCTGGCAAAGGCTTGGGTAGATTCTAGCCAACTCAAAATGCCACTTTGTTTTCTAGAGACACCATTTTCCTGTGTTTTAGACAGTCTTACCCTCTGTTACTGAAAAAAAAAAAGTCTGTGTGTGATTCAAGGTCAATTTACTGCACAAAGGACTTGGTTTCCTGTTATCAAGCCTAGACTTTCATCAGAATAAACATCCCCTCACTGCACGTCCTGTAAAGAAATACAAGTAATACGAACAGAATATATCATGACATGCTTGTAAAAGAAACCGGTACCTTGTATTTGCCTACCACATCCCCCTTCTCCCACCGGTAAGCGTTCTCTGAAAGTCCTCCAGGGCAGGTCTTGGGTGCTTTCTTGTAAATAGCAGCAACGGGCCTTGAACCTTCCCGGACCATGCTAAAGCCCTTGTCTTCTCCATAACAAGGATGCCCTCCTTAAAAAGGTGTTAAAGGCAGAGCTAAACCATTAGCTAATCAGCCAAGAAAACATCCAGAGGCATGCACAGGGAATCCTTAGCCCTTCCAATACAAAGGCAAAATAAATGGGGACAGCTGTATTATTTCTGTTACAACCCGACCATACCACTGCTGTGCTGAATCCCAGCTGGAGTACCTGAATTCGTATTTCTCTAGCATACAAACGGCAAAGTCCACAGCAAGGTACTTAGAAGATGTCACAAGGCAGCCAATCCATTCTGCATTAGAACAGTAGGGCATTGATGCTGCGGGAAATGCCATACAGCCACGTCTGGCACACAGATACCCAGGGCAGCATTTCCTATGGAAAACTCCTGTGAGGCTCTGGAATCTCAGCCTCTGCTTCAAGGAAAGATATACGTGCCAACCTGACTTACATTACCCTCGGAAACTGGTTATGGAAAATGTGCCAGCTCAGATGCAAATCCCTCTTACTTACCTCGTGATGACAACAAAAGCCTGATGAAATTTTACTCATCCATTAACAAAAAAGACTTTGCCCAGCAACACACGTGGGTGGGATTCCAGTAGGGTGACATTATGCTTTTGGCACGAGGACCTTGGCCCCCAAGAATGGCAACCCTGTGGCACGACAAACGCAGGCACTTCGCGACAGCAGGCCACAACCACATACTTTACCTGCTGACTCAAGAGGAAGAATGCAGAACCTACAAAAATTAAAGTTCCAGCCAAAATCCCGAGATGGTAATCACATGGAAAACAGTTCTTTAGGTAAAGATTTATGATTAGAATTATACTCATGAAAATACTAGCTGATTTCTAATCACATTTATAGCAAGGTATATCCAAAGTATTTCACTGGTATCACTTCAGAAATCCACTGGAGGAAAAAATGATCGCTTAGGTCATTTGGGCAGTGTTACAATATGATTTTTGTGTTACCACCACGGACAGAGGTCCCTCCACGCTCCACTGAAATCAATGGCAAAACTCTTAACTCTCCTGTTTTAAGCGTGAAATAATCTTCATTTCTCCAAGTCCTGTGTCGTGTTTGATTTCTTCTCTCTGCTCTCCTTTCAAAACTGAAAGCAGCAGCAATCAGATCAGATGATTTCCTAGATCGCACGCAGCAGTGGAAATCCCAAAAGAATCCCCAGTTTTCAGGTGAAAAACGAATGTTGACACCTGTGCGTAAGGTTACTGTGCAGTACCAGGGGCTGGGGTTATTTTCTTGTTGAGGACAGTGTATTTAAGGATGTGGTTGAGACAATGCATTTTCCGTTTGACTTCAGTTTAACTTTCAGTTTGAAACAGAGATACCACTCTTCTTGTTAAACGCTATCCCAGAAACAAGGACCGCTTTTTAGAAGCACCGCCAACCTGTTTGTGGCTCGGCAGGTTAAGGATATCCACATTACATCGATTAAAAAGCCTGTGGTCACGATAAATGAGAAAGGGTTCCCCTTCTTCACTGATTTTCTGAAAACCCCTGGGAAGCATTCACTTTCTCCTAACAGAATGTTCCCAATATTCTGGTTTTTAAAGCGGCCTGTAATCTTAATTGCTGTTCGTATCTTTGGGAGATCAAAGGGAGGATGTCTGTGATTCTTTGTATTACTCACTGTTACATTAGCACAAAGATCACATATTCATTTATTTTGGTTTAAGAGGTAACAGTCTCCTTTCACTGCACGCACATAATTACTGTAAGCATTCCGAGGACTTGCCAAATGATGCATGGAGGGAGGAGGAGAATCTTTGAAGAAAATTGTTCAAACGTAATTTAGTTCACTAATTGGCAAGGGACCGTTACTAACGAATTGCTTCTGTTTTATGTCAGTAGTGAATCAGGTTGATGATGTGTAACATACCTTAAGTCAGTTAATGAGTATTAACAAGAAATGCGACTGAAACACAAGAAGGTTTTTTTCACCTTTAGCTAGCCAAGCAGAATTGCTAATAAATAAAAGGATATGTGTAAGTGGCTTATATGATTCCAATCTGCAGTGGAAAGACTTTTCTTAGAATCTGATGGTAACCACAAGTTTGTGGGAAAAAAAAAATTCAGACGCTTACCGTGGCAGTTCATCACAAGTTACTTTATTTCTAACCAAGCCTGAAATGAAAATGACTAAAAGTCATTACCGTAAAATAGCTGATTAGAAGCCAATGTGAACTGAGACAGTGAGTCTCTGGCCACGGCTACAAGACCAAGACACTGTGCAGTCAACTAAGCTGTGGATTCACTTCGCGGTGTCTGCGTGCACACTCTTACGATGTGGTAACTGAAGATAGCTTACTTCACTTTCGTTGTGGGACAAGACACTTTTTGCATCTCCCCGTGTGCACCAAGCAAGCTGGAATGCCCCTAAGCCTTGTGGTATCGTGCGCATAGGAGAAAGATTAACTTACTTGTTGGAGTAGCCACAGTCAGAGACGCCTTTGACTTTCTCCCATACGCATGACGCAACAACACAACAAGGCTTCGGTTGCAGGCAGGAGTCAGTGGGCTGAAGGAATATGGAAGCCACGCGGTCTTGCAGTGCCAGGGCAGAGCTTTCAGGTCAAGGCAGGTCCCAAGCTGTAGCCATTCTGTGAAGAACGCAGGCCTCCCGTGGATGTGCAGGCGTGAGAACAAATATCATTACAAAATCTGTGCAGAAGGAAGATTTCTGCTTTGCTCTGGCATGTGAACAAACTGGCTTATTAGGTCACAGGTGGAAAAATGAGAACACAGGACTAAAAGTGAGGATGAAGTGGAGAACTCTCATGTTCTACAAGTTTTGTGAAATGGGCATCAAGCCACGAAACCTGCCAGACACTGCTGCAGGCTCACGGACAGGCAGTGGTCTGTCTGCCTTGGGCCGAGTAAGGACAGCTGTGATATTAGCATGAGGATTGCAACGCGTTACTCAGCTACCTGGAGAAGGAGGTCAGCTGAGTATCTAGGGGTGTTCAGCTTCAGCATCCTCTCTACTCAGCCAGCTAGTTCCAGTCTGGCTTCCAACTTCTTCTGGTCAACGAGAGCAAAAGCAGAAGAGAGATGCATCAATCCCCACCTCCTCGTAGCTTTTATCTAGTCAAGGAAAGATCACTGTTTCAGCAGTGAGGAAGATCCCTGATGTCTGGAGCCAACCTTAAGCGCTGCCACAGCAGAAGACATCACCGTATGAATGACGATAGGGAACCCAGTGTGTCAAGCGATGGCACTGGCGGGCAAGGTCCCTCAATCAGATGCCCTAGACACTATGGGTCAGATACTTGCCAAGCAATCCTCGCTGCTTTCTACACAGCAATCTGACATACACCACAGAAGAAACACCCTACACCTAAAACCACTGCTGCTCTTCAAGTCCTGTCCCGAAATACCTCTGTTGCATATCTGAAATGTCAGGGATGCTGTTACACTACTGGGTCCATTACTCTGTTGAACTCTAGTGCTTTTATTTCCCCATCGTTGTAACATTTGAACACTTCAGGCAATCAGCATTACACCAGGAAGAAGGTGCACTACATTCCCTTCTTCACTGTTTCATATTTCATATTTTATTGTTAAAATGTTATTAAAATATTTCATATTTTGCGATGTGTATAAAGTAATGTAATGGCTATTCCCTAAACGCTTTTTATAAAATGTCTAAGACCAATTAAGACCATTTTGCTCCTCTCACTCCAGTAATAGCCATTAGGTCTCAACAGCGTGCCTGCCAGGCAATCTGCATGACACAAAACACAGCACTTCTGCTCCAAAGGGCACAGAATTATTTTCTTTCATTGCTGTTGCTCTCCTTACCTGAATTTGCAACCACAACGTACCCTTAGTAAAGTTCGGTTTTAAATGCGGTGTATTGCAACACAATTTGTATTGCACAACTGTCTAAGCCCCTTGGTATACACGGTGGGTTGCTGTTTTAGAAACAAGCTGATAATACAGTCATAGCAACACTACTTGCAGAGTCAGAAAAAAAACATTCAGCACCAGCAGAAAATGTGTATAGATTACTTTATCTCTGTATTCAATATAGATAAAAATCCTTCTTTGAAAAAAAAATCTATGCTCCGGAAACAGCAGATAGGATGAAGTTAAGCACAATCTAGTGAATCATGAGACTTGTTGTTTGCTGGCATTGATACCTCAGAGAGTTCATCTTGAGAGAGTGTCATTAAATATTGATGACATATTGGCAAAGGACAGTCCAGCCACAGAGGAGGCAATTTAGCTGGTGGGATGGGGTGGGCGGGGAGTGAGGGAGAGAGACGGAGAGAAAGAAGCACACAGACACCATTCACATGGAAACACAAATCCTCAACTTTAGAACACCAAACAAGGGCTGTTAGTTGACATTGTCATGACGATTATGGTGCTGCTTGTCTCTTGGCAATCCAGAGTTTTCACGAGACAAACATGCAGAAATACATGTGGTATGTGGAAGAGTTAAATACTGGAAGAGAGTAAAGGTCTTTACTAGTCAGACGACCATGCAAACTCACATCTTCCAAAGTGTATTGTGTGTCAGAATGAACATCATCTCCTGCTGTCCCGAATCAGCTTCTCTGGTTCACTGACCTTCCTTTTCTTCTTGGGTTCTATTACCTCTTCCTGGCTAAATGCAAGGTTCAGGCAGCTTATCTGTAAGAACCATCAGAAACAGGGATCATTCTCACGGTACAGGCTCCTGCTAGATAAGTCAAGAAACACAACTTCCAAAACTACAATGTGTTTTCCTGGATCCTCCTGGGTTTGCTCAGTGTGATCCTGTTCTCCACAAAAGCAATTAGGCAAGGAATCAAAACTGGAGTACTGGATGGAATTGAGACTGTAAGATTTGTGAACGCAACAGGTTCAGCTTCAGGGACGGAGAATGGCTTTGGTGGCAGAAGGAACAGTACCCACTTCCTCACCGCTGACAGAAAATACCAGCAGCAAGGAGACCTTTGAGAAATATAATAGCTTATAGGGCACAGCCTGTTTCATCGACCTGAGATAATCATAGAAGTATGTAAAAGACGGGGGGCACTTATGTCACATTTGCAGTCACCAGCAACAGCCTTTCAGGAGGAGACATACAGTACCTCTATTTGTACATCAGGCAATTTCAACGTGAGTTGGTCGATCTCAGACTTCAAAGACTACCTGTGAGTCTGTGAAAAATAACTAAGCAAAGCAAGCTTTTTTCCAAGAGGCTTAACTTCCCTCTAGAAAGACACAAGCCTCCCTCAAAAATATTCAGAGGTCTACAAACCAAAAGGTTAAAAAACACGGATAAATATATGTTAGAATATAAATGGGTCAATGGTACAGGCAATTCAGACAGACCACAGAGAGATGGACAGCCAGAACAACAGCTGAAGTGTTGGCTGTGCCAAGTGACAAGCTCACTTATTCTCATTATCACATAACATATTTACATTTTTACAATAATAATCTGGAGCTGCAGAGAGTAACGTGTGTTGTTGCCCACCCAGAAGGGACAAATCACACAGTCTGGCAATGTAAACTCGCTTGCTCTCGCTGGAACTGAGCTAAAGGGACACACCACAGCACACCGCTTCAACTTTGCCTACAAAAAGAAGTTCATTTGGCTGAAAGTAAGGTGAATGAAGAGGGAAAAGAGTGCTAACCGAGTTCCTGCTCCAAAACTGGAATACCTTACTCCAGTTTCACCGTAAAACATGAAGAATCACGTAACTGAAGCAGGATAAACACAAGGAGTTAATAAAGAGCTACTCCAAAACGCATCCGGGAGACAAGCACAAGGTCTCCAGATTACAAGCTGCGGTCATTATAGAATTCCCCACTCGCGTCATCAAGGCTTGCTTTCTATCTGACCTTGGTATGAGGCTTCGGTAATCTCTACATAGCAATGCGCTTTCTAATGTGTGAAATAACTCTGATTATGGATTAACAGTAAAATAGTCTGAAACCTCACTTTGCCTCTCTATCGTGTTTCAAATTGTTTTTCCTCGCCTCTTCCCTCCTCTTCATTATGAGCAACACAATATTGCTTAACGCAGAAAGTACAATTTCCTTTCCACAAAAACAGAGAAAACAAGAATCTGCCAAAGTGGGACAGGAAGGTTCTCTTTCATCCTGCACACTCAGGCTGACAAAACTCCCAGTGCTGCCCAAGGCATATTTGCCCGAGGGAAGAGTGATGAGTGGATCTCTGTGTTACAGCTCCTGACCTGATATCCAGCTGCTCAAACTGGCATTTTAGGCAGTTATTTACTTTCCTTTCCCTGGCATCATTTTAACCTGTCTGCTTCCTTTTTTGAAGTGAAGGGCCCAGAGAGGGGAAACACCGCATCCAAAAACCCTCTAGTGCTAACACAGCTGCAGGGTTTGTACCCTGTCTTGCTGGCCACACATAAAGCAAAGTGACGATCCCCCGTTTCCCGGCCCCCCCCCAGTCACCTGAATAAGGCAGCTCTCCTCCTGTTTTAGCCTAAACCGCATAAAGACAGCATCAGCTAGAGCTGGTGCTTTTATTTCCTCTATTGAGGAACCGATCTTCTGCAGCATAGACAACTACTCAGTAAAGTTTTTACCCCTTTGCTATTCCTCCTAAATTTTCTGCATGGATGGGATACTTTTGAAGTGGGAGAGAGAGCCACAACAAGCAGCTGCTCACGCCGAGTCCACTGCAACTCTCCCACAGTCTTCCTCCCCTTTACCACAGGCAGCATGACCACCTAACAGAAACCTGAGATGAGAAGAGTAAAAACATCTATGCAAGCCATCAAGTGCTCTGCACAAGCACTATTTATCGATTGAATAAGACGTCAATCTTGTGAAGTATTTCAGCGGAGCCAACATGTCCTGTCGTGCCCCTGCCCAGCTACAAGTTCACGTAGGAACTCAGAGTCAGGAACAGCCCCTAAGTCCAACTTCCAGGTCCCATCCTTAACCAAACACTCAAGCTTCTTCCCCAGAAATGTTGCTCTAAATGGGATTAAGTCAGATCCTACATATGTTTATTTGACTTTAACCAGAAAGTAAACCTCTTAAATGGTGTGGTGACAAGCAGGAAATCCCTCCCATTGACTAAATATACAATCAAAACCTCCAGAAGTTGATTAATTCTGATTTTTCCCATGTACTGGGGTGCTTGACTTCGAATGACTGATAGGAGAGCTCGTGCTGTATGAATGTTGGTTTTTTGTCCTGCACAACCACTACGGGTCCTCGGCTCCACTGATGAGCCAGGTGCAATAAAAGCACATCAGACAAGACCGCGGCCCTTGCACGCGTGCCCTGCAAAGGGACCATGCTGACAACAGGACGGGGGGACAAGCCCAGCTCAAGTAACAAAGACAGGAACAGATCTGTGACCTCCTGACTCTGAGTCCAAGGCGTAGTTCTGGGTCTAGGTCATACCATGAACACACCGTGAGTTTGAATCTCCTGTTTTACAACACTGCACTACACATCACACAAAAGTATTATTTTGCCGCAGAATTTTTCTGTAAAACTACAGCTAACTTGTGAATCATACAAGTGTTACTAATTTCTGGCATAAAACTAACAGGACAGCTGCACATTGTCTGGAGAAGATATCAGGCTAAAAATAGATTAGACTTAGATTAAAGCCTTCCCAAGGCAGACTGGTGGATGAAACAGAACAAGCAGACCACAGCTACACTGCTATTCTTAGACAGACAAAATCAGGACCTAGTTTTGTGCTCTGCAATTTTCAATCCCCAGTGTCCCCACTTATTCCGGCCAAAAATTCCCAGCATAAATCGAAGCAAATTTACAGCTCTTCTGACATGTGTTTTGCTTCCCAAGGCATCCTATGTAGGAAAGCTAAAATTGCACAAGGGCGTTCGACTGTGTCCCTCTTTGTCCCTGGCCTGCGCGATGTGGACGTTTGGCACCCAGCAAATTTTATGCCCTCAGAAGCGATCCCTTTGTCAGGGACACAGTGTTTAGTTTTGTACCTTGTAACTATCCTGACAAATTCAGGAGCACATTAATGTCAAAAGAAGTCCAGTTCCATCAAGAGAGCTCGAAGAGTAAGGACTGAGATACCAGACTTAACTGCTGAAACAAGGCAAAATGATCCTCTGGTGTCATGGCAATGAACAGTATCTGCAAGGGATGTCTATCATCATCAGGAAACTTTAATCAGAGCGAGCCAGTGCCTGATGCACCCTGTGATTTCAGTTGCAGCTAACATTGACTCGACAACAGAGCAAATTCTTGCCACTTTCAAAAGTCAAGCCAGTGACTCTTTAAATTGATCCCCTAAGACGTGAGGCATCCCTGGTGAACAGCCCTTTCTCTCTGGTTGAAGGCAATAATTCCCATCTGCTCACTGACAGTTGGCTGCTCCATGCTCTCCAAGCACAGCAAAAATCTAGGTTCACAAGGTACGTCATGGTGTCCAGTGAAAGGACAAGAGGAAATGGACACAAACTGAAATACAGGAAATTCCATTTAAACCTAAGGAGAAACTTTTTTTTAACTGTGAGGGCAATCAATACTAGCACAGGTTGTCCAGGGAGGCTGTGGAGTTTCCATCCTTGGAAATGATTGGACAAGGTCCTGAGAAACTGGCTCCACTTCACTCTGCTTTGAGCATCTAGGCTGGACATGAAGATCTCCAATTGTCCCTTCTGACCTCAGTGATTCTGCAAAGGTGGCACAGTGGTTAAATGCTCAACGCAAGGCTCACCCTCGTCTCGTATCAGTTTCCAGTGAAACGATCACACTGACATCAGTGGAATTAATCCTGATTTTCATCTGTACAAGTGGAGGAGAATCATACTGGTTAGCATGAAAGCCAATTTACGCAGGTGGAAGAATGAAAGACACTCACTGTGGTGCTTCTGTGGAAACTTGCCACATATTTGTCCCCAGGAAGCCATGCCAACACATCACTGACTACCACTAGTCCTCTTCCTTTTCCATAGCTCACTGTTAAGATCTTTGACATTCAACGCAATTTCTTTTTTGCAAACTGGAAGTCTCACAGGCCTACTCTGAACCTCATGTCTCCTGCAGCACTTGAAGGACTAATGAACAGATTTTTCCAGAGTATATAAAAAAAATTCTTCAAAAATACCTGTTGAAAAAAAATGTATCAATGTGTCTCCTTATAATCTCTCCCAGGGCCCTCAATCACACTGCACATCGCTGCGCCGGCCACTCTGACTGCCAGATCACGATCCAACATGCCTCCCAAAACCAGAAGCCTTCCCTGATAAGGTTACAGCATTGTAACGGAGGAGGCGAAAAGCAATGGACACCTCTTCTGCCTACTAGGCTGCGACCCAGCTTAGTCCCTTGTGGGATATTAGATCTGTCCAACCTTAATTCATGCAGATTTCTCTAGAGGTCTGGTTGCTAGCACGTACATTATGAACATACGTAAAGGCAGCCAGTGTGGAAGCACCACATCTTCCTGAGATATCCCTGGGGTAGCTGTCAGGGAATCCCAGGGCACAAGGGTTACATCTCCCCGGATCTGCGGCGTGATGGGCCTCACCTCTGAATGAAGAGATCACTAGGAAACTGTTTCCTGCACACTAGACAGGGATAACTCATGCAAGGGATGAATGGCCCCAAGATACAGCTAAGGATCTGACGTGAGTTGAGAGAAGCCAGGAATTTCCTGACCTCCCTGTCTCACTCCTCCCAGAATGGCCTGAGCTCACAGGAAGGAGAGAGGCAAGCTCATCTCTGAATCTTTCTCTCTTCATTGTTTGGGTCTGTGTAGCCTCAGCTGGTTTGGAGGGGAAAATGTTCTGGGAACTTCTCATCAGATACAGCTCTCTTGATAGACAGTTAGAGATAAACCTTTCTTTTTTTTTTCTTCTTTTCTGCAAAAGTTCAAGATAATGACATTGTCACAGAAAAATGCTTTCCTATTGCTCTGCAAATGGCAGGCTTCACCCTTCAACTGCTTTCTGTCATGGCAATTTTAAAAGTGTTTGCCTGGGAAAAATCAGACAACAGAGGTCTTGATCTCCAAGCTGTTATTCTGCAATTGAATCCACTCGTGCTGACCTTCACTTTCAGACAGAAGCTGTGTACGACATGGAAGCTCAGCAAAGGCACAAGCATCTCCATCAGAGTAATCACGGCCCTGGGCACCAGCAGGACACTGATCACTGGCAAACACGACAGATATTGCTCACAATGGGTCATCCATGACAGAGTGTGTTCACACTGCCTTCCATTGCTGCCACAGTCCCTCGGAGAAAGAGGACATGGCCAGGTAGCCAAGTCTTCTGCATGAGGAGCAGCAGCTGGAAGCCAGACAGGCTATCCTCTGAGGTCTAAACCAGCACAGCTTTACAACCTTTAGGTATGAATCTCTCCCTAGACATCTAACTTTCAGACAGCTCCCGTTAAGAGAGCTAATCCACATGGCAGGAGCATGCCGACAGAAGGCAGTGAATCGCAGTGCAGAGATCCCTGAGCTGTCACTGATCCCAACTGGTATGTCCACACAATGCCAAGCGTCAACACACTTCCTCATGTCCCCCAGCAGTCTAGTAGCACAAGCACGGCCAGTCCAGCAGCATCAGCAGTGTCTGGCGGTAGCTAATGAAGCCAGAAACTTGGGAGGCAGAGCTGACTTGTGCTGTGCTGATATGGCCACACCATTTCCAGCCCTGGCGCAGGCTCGGTCAGGGGCGATTCAGGGCTCTCTGCACGGCTGCTTCACTGTGCAGCGAGACTGTGCTCTAAGGACCACCCCAGAACTTCAGCCCACAGCTTCCTGATGGGAGATAAAAGCCTGCAGAGGCGTCCACATGGTCAGATTTTACTCATTTTCTAGTTCTGTTTCATTCCAAACTCATTCCACTGCAACATGTTTGCTTACACGAAGACAAAGCTGACCAAAATCAATCTGCAGGACAAGAACATTAAAAATATTCACAGAAGGACAAAGGAGTATGCTGAAGAATTCAAAAAGTTGTCTTAAGTTCAGCATGGGACCCCATTCTCATCAGCAGATTTTTATAAGCTAAACCAATGGGCAGCAATTCCCTAGCTCACCCAACTCTTCCCAACTCCTACAATGCCAGTGGAAAGTAGCAAGGCGCATAAAGATAGCACACTGGGCCAAAGCTTTGGCTGATGCAATCAGAAAAACTCTCCTGAAGTCAGAAGAGGTAGGCTAATTTATATGCTGGTGTCTAACTCTGGATGATTAAGTACAGAGATGCTTTGCTGGGAAAGGGCAATCTCTCATTTGATCCTAAGTATCATCAATCATGAGATTGCAGATAAAACGACAGTTGAGCACATGTAAATTTTTCTCCAATCTGAAAAGCCTTCTGTCAGAGAACTCTCCATGGCCATTACTAAAGGCCAGTTACAGTACTAACTGGACAGGAATAGCTGCTTCTTTTTCGGCAGATCTGCATCCTTTGTCTCTCCCACGTCAATTAGATAAAAATAAGCCTTTAATACCTTCATTCCTGGTTTTCCTGAAGAGCTATAGGTCAGGAAGATAATGACCAGTAAACTCAGTTCTAACAGCACAGTTTTTATTTTTGATAACCAAGGAATCAGAAGGAATAAAGTAGTTCAGTGAATGGGCTCGTCCACATTTCCGAAAGCAACTTGTGACTATTCGTACCATTTTTGAACTCAGCACTTCTTGAATATCAAATCCTTGTACAGATATCAAGTTCTGGGACACTCCAAATTGTTTTAGTTAGTTCTGAAAATCTTGGCCTGAACGTTTAACCGTATGGAGAGCATCTTTAAACCCAAGTCCCCGAGGTGCTGCTCCATGGACAGCAGACGAGCTAACGCTGCGTTGCCACTGGAAGGGCAGGTCTCCCTCCCAGACCCTCTCTGCCCGTTCCTCGCCACCCAGTCTTGCTCGCTCCCTTACGGCAGTGCAGTACATGAGCAATCATTCATTAAGCTAGCGCAAGGGGATCTTCTCCTGGTGCAAACCTACCACTTAAAGTCACGCACTAGCACTGCCACTCTAAAGGCTCATGTCTGCCCCAGTAAAGGGAGACCTCCATGGCCCAGGCTACGTTGTTCCCCAAGGCCCCTCACACACCAAGTTGATTAAACTCTGAAATCCAGGGGAAAACAAGTCACTCTGGAGACCTTATAGCTCTTTAAAGCAGAGAGTTTCTCTGAACACACCTGACAGCTGGAAAACGCTATTATTTGACTCTACTGTAATCTGGATAGCAACAAGGTGTTTGCATTCACACTCCAACAGGACTACTTCTACCTGTCTTACCTATACTTGACCCTGTTAGATAATACCTAACTCAGACTTCCCATCCACCCAAGCTTGTCCTCATTTTTTAAGACAAACTTCACTCACCAGTTTGGCTTCCTGATTCAAGTGGAATACACAATGGTCATTTGTTTTAACCACTTCCCTCAGAAAAGAAGGGAAAGTCCCTCTCATGGAAAATAGTGTCAAATTTTTATTAGCGCTGGCTTTACAATGATGATTTTAACTAGTGACTTGACTTTGTTTTTCCCTAAACTGACTGAAATATTAGCCAACTTCCAAGCTATGATGGTTTAAAAAATAGTATCAAAGAATACATTAAAAGAAAACCCAAACTCTGCATGCAGAATCTACCAGGCAGAGGGCTTGGGATTTTTATTTTTTCTTAAGTCTTTGGAAGCATACAATGGATAAAGTGACTCTTCCATTTTTCAGCAACTAATGCTGTTTCCACCACCTTCAGACACTCTCACTATTGCTACTGTATTCTAATGAAATTCACATGCTGCAAGAGAGAGGTGTCTGGTGCCCCGCTTACAATCGTGACAAACCCAAAAGAATGTCAGAGCATGAATCTGTGGGACAACCATGAGTAACAAACAAGAAAGGCTCCTGTTTTCACACAGACGACAGAATAAACAATGATCAGAAGGAAACTGGAGGAGGTGACACAAAAAGAAATGTGGTTAAAGTTTGAAAAATACCAGCCTAGGCACAGAAGTTCATTTCTAAGATCCAGAGTCAAGGCAAATACTTCACAGATGCCTTTTGAATGACACGGTTAAGTTGTAGTCTCCAGTTGCTGTCTGGGTTAGACACCCCGGGATTCTTTTCCACAGAGGCGGGGAAAATTTTAGTAGCAATTTCCTACTCTCATTAACTTATCCTGTAAAGATTCAGTTTCTGAATATTCAAGCTCACACGATTTTCAACTAATTTGAATGGGAGGAGGATCAAGTGGCAAGTCTGGTGGTGTACAGAGATTTGCCCTGTCACTGAAAAAACCTCTGCACAAGCCCATGAATTCGAGCTCTGATTCTGACTCAGGGCTTGGCCTGGGCAGCCTCCAGGATGGAATTAATTTCACATAACTTTACTTATCTAAAATTACATGTCTGGTCTACCCTAGTTCTTTGGGTTGCCCCAACAACTACTGAAAAAGAGATCAGCACCTCCAGGGGAAAATTCTTCCTATCCTAGCAAGGTAGCCAAAAAGGGATACCATCCAGTAAGTACCTGTGACTCACATGTGAAGATAGTCTGGAAGCAAGAAAGGAGAGGTGAAGACCATGTTAGGCAACAGATAAACACACTCTTCAAACCTAAAACTGGGTGGTGATTTCAGAACCTTAATCCAAAAACACACACAGGTAAACCAGCCTGGCTGGGACACTGATACATTTAGTCTGCATGTGTAATCCACAAGTGCCAACTCCAGAGAATGGCACAAAATTCTTGTACTGGATGTATGAAATAAGCTGACCATCTTCCTAAATGCTTCCAGTTCATGCTTATATCCCTATGCCCTAATACTCTGCAGCCTCTATGTATTTTGATACTGCACAATAAATCCACTAATGTTAACTGAACCTCATGCCATCCTAGATGACATAATGTTCCGTGGCAACGAATTCCACCTTGCCCGGTGTATCTTAGAACCACTAAAATTTCCTCACCTGCTGAGATGCCTTTGAGCAAGGCATCCTGCCCATCTCCTTTATTCCCATCTTCTTCTTTCCACCTACAATCCAAACACCAAATCAAAATTAGCTGTGAAGTTAAAACCCTATGTTTAATTGAAAAAAAAAATAATCCAGAAGCCTGACTAAGCCATTGTGGCAAAATCCCATGCCTGATCTGAAATTGTGTAACCTTTGCTCTCAGGCACTGCCAACACTGGCAGTTTATTTCTGGAAACAAGAGATTTCAGAATAAAATGTCATCTGAACATGCAACACACCAGCTCGCAGCAGCTCCTATCAATTATAGTGAAACTCCATTTTAACCTGGTTTCTAAGAAAACAAAGCTTCTGGCTGCATATGCTCTATCCAAGCGCTTCTGTGTATGGGGAAGGAGGGGAGCTGGCCCCTTGACTAGTAACTATTGACCTTATTAGATAGTTTCAGTAAAATTTGAGGAGCGGGGTGTCCCAAAGCACCTCAGTTTCATGAAAACAAGCAACTGGTTAGAGGAGGAAGATCCTGTTAATATCCCCTGAGAGGAAAAGGTGGCAGTACGAGTTCACCCCTTATTAGTCATCATAGAATCTGCAGGAGAAAGACCTGAAAAGGTGACTTCATAGGCAGACAAGCTGCTTCATTCCAGTGCTTAGGGGATCTCAGGAATGCTATTTACCATTTTGTCACTAGATGGTATTGTTCCACAGGCTATATCTGAGAGCCTCAAAGGTCAAATACAGCACGGTATATCAGAAGCTAGGCTGACTGAAGTGAGAGAAAAGGCTTTTTTTTTTCATGTATTTTCATGTATGTTTTCACACATGGAAGTCATTAGCAAATACAGCACGGTATATCAGAAGCTAGGCTAACTGAAGTGAGAGAAAAGGCTTTTTTTTCATGTATTTCATTTATGTTTTCACACATGGAAGTCATTAGCGAAATCAAACTGTAACAGCTAAAGGAAAAGAGCTTTGGTGAAAATGTAGAAATGTAACTGAGTATTGATGAACTGGGCATTTCCTCCATATCTGAAAAAAACTACTGAGACAAAGAGGTGGAGAAATACTGATAAAAAATTGAATGCTTCTGTTAACAAACCAAGCATATACAACAAGCCCTTCTGCATAGTTCAATCGGATCTGACACAAATTCAAAGAGCCTGACAAACTCTATTCATTCACTTCAAAGCAAGTGAGAAAATCCAAATATTATGCTAGGATACAGTCATGAGCACCTTCAGTTTTGAAACTGGGCATTTACCTGTATCTTGAAGGTAAAAAGAAGATGCTTCTGTTTTCCAGCCTGGATGGGTGTCACTTCTGTCCTCCTCATGCTCACTTGAATCTGCTCTGACAGGGAGAGGGTGATTCTGTAAAGCAAATGATGTTTTGTCTTAATAACATAACCTAAAAAATATGCCAGGTGGTAAATCCATAAACCCAGCACTAATAGGGATGAGATTTTCAGAGCTCCTCAGCATCCAGGCCTTCCTTCTCCCAAGCCTACAGGTCTTTCAAGGAGAAATTTTCTAAGACAAGACAGAATTCTGTGCTAAATGGCTTCCTATCTTCAGGAGTTAGTTATGTAGGGGTTTATTCCCTGGCACTGACCACCTAATATTAAAGTGTCAAGTCTGAGCTACCCGTTTTGGGCTGCCCCTTCTGTTGTTTTGGAGAGAGGCACCACCAGAGGACAATTCATTCTGGCCTACCTTGGTGTCTACGGAAATTATCTGAATTACCTGCTAAAGATGCCCCCTTTGCCACTAAACACGGAGGGGGCCTAAAGAAACTGGACACAACGCACAACTTCTAGATGGCTAGAGGTAAGTGGAAGGAATCCCACCTAACTACACAGTGGAATGTGGTTTAGTCCTAAGAAATGCGAAGTGGAAATGCAAAACTGTTCGCAATTTTCTCCCTTTTGTGCATTTCTGTGTATAAGTGTGCATGTGCGTGTGTGTGTGCACACACATGTGTTGGGTCTCTCCGTACAATCAGTGCCCTCTTCTGGGAGAACATACTAGACTCAGTAAGCCAGTGGATACGCTGAAATGAAACTCACTTTATGTCTATGGACTTCCAGCCTCAGCGTTCAGTCCACTGTAGGGCTGCTGCCCAACACAAGCTGAAACCCTTATTAAACTAGGATTGTGAGAAAATGTTTTTTTTAAGGAGAGTTTTGCTAGATAAACCTTGTTCCTCCAGCGAGAACCAAATAGAGCTATTTCTATACCTTTGTGCTCCCCTCCTCTTCCTCTTCATCACAGTCTAACCCTTGATGGGAGATCTCAGTAGGTCCATTCTTCTGGATCAGGTTGCTTTCAACTGTCCCCATTCTTTTCTTTTCAGTTGTCACTCTCACTTTCATCAGGTGGAAGCCGGTGGAGACTGACCCTACTCTCAGGTTGACAGGATCGCCATCAAACAACAGGTCACCAGGGCTGACATCTTCCTTAAAGCCAGGGGGCTGGTAATCTTTGGGAGTTACTACACGGGGAGAAAGGACCCACTGGTGTCAGAGAAATCAAGTTCCATCTCTCCTTAATCTGATTTATAAAGAAGAAGTGTATACCAGCCTCAAGTCACAACATCAACCACTAAAAATATTCTGGGTTTTTTTTCAGGAAGAAGGGAGAGAACGCAAAGGAAAAAATGAACTGAATAAATGTTACCAGAGAGCTCAAAGAATGACTTTAGGATGCTGAGATACCATTCATATGCTCAGCTTTCTGGAGCAGACCCTGACATTGCCTGTTCCTTAAAAAAACAAAACCAAAAACCAACAGTGAAGGAGAAGAATGTCTCCTTTTAACACTGCATGGCTGTACTTCTTACATGGATGTTCAAACCTTTCTCAAGAAGCACCTGCCATCCCTGTGTATCAGAAGGCTTTACTGTATTTTACACCATTTCTCACTGTTATCAGCTAACAGCTGGTACCATTTCACCTTTCTATGCTTTATTTACTTTACAGGGGCTCACGACTGTTATAGAAACTGATGGAAAGAGAATTTTTCCCCACAGCACGCACTGTTTTCCACCTACCATCATTGTAATAGAGGATTTTCATGGTCAGGGTAACGTCATTGGGAAGCGGCCCCAGGTTTTGCATTAACAGGTACAGTTTACCGATCAGGAGCCTGCTCGCCCGTTTAACATCCTCGCTGCACACCCCATTCACAAAGTTCATTTGGTTGCTACAATCGGAAGAAAAATAACAGATTTGTTTTCCTCAGTCATGAATATTCACGATCTAATTACAAATACAGAGCACTCACTGACTTGTCTGAAACCACCAGCAACAAAGCTACAATGCCTTTATGTAATTTCCAGATAAACAGGGAAGTGAAACAGACTCCAGGGATGGGGTGGCATCAGCAAAACAACAGCTCTAAACTAAGAGGCACGGCATTTACATTTGAAGGGACTTTGTAGCTGGGGCAATGGACCCCCTTATACAAATGTCATGACTCACTTGTTTGAACATGATTAAATTCGATCAAAGCACCATAAAACAAGAGCCTTTCACCTAAGCAATTTCAGGAATGAGAGGAATGAGGTGAGAATCCCATACAAAGCTGATTCATCACAGGGGCTATTTTCAAGTTCATTTTGCAGTTTGAAGAGAAGTGAACTGCATGTTCTCACTTCAATTCCATGTAAGAAAAACTAGCTCAGAAGCACATTTTTCAAAAGTGAGTAAGGGGCATTCCTCTCACCTCATTCACCCACCCAAATGTCACAGCTGGCTAGTCTAAGCAAGCAGTCTAGACCGAGATAAAAGTGTAACAGAAGTGGGATGAATCGCCCTCTGGAGGGGTTTGTTTCTTTTGACTACAGAGGTAGATGAGATGAGCAACTCCGAGATCAGCCAGCTAACCTTAGATGGCTGAAGACGGACTAGATGAATCACTACATGACTAAGGAACCTAAACTTCTTTAACTTTCAATGAGAAGGGGCCATAAAAAAATGTAGCTCCTTCATGACATCTTTGGAAGACGAGTGGCACGTGGATGATGCTATATACAGGCTGGATGGTCCCTAACAAATCATCTCAAATTGCTTCAAAAGCAGTAAGTAGCCTAAGAGAGCAGAGAGGTTCTCAGAGCTGAATTTGACTGACTAAACCACTGGAAGGAACAGCTTCATTAAGACTTGATTTCCCCTTCCAGTTGAAGCTTCTCGGCTCATCATGAAAATGGAGCGGTTGTTGAACAGCTTGACTTCCCAGGGTATGCAGAGTATGGTTTGGTAGGCACCAAAATGCCAGAAGGAAAACTCTGTGCTATTAGATTAAATCCTGTATGTTCAGAAATGTGCATCAAGTGAGAGGACAAATGCTGGCAAGGCCTAAGGTGGAGTAAAGAGAAGGCAGGCCTTTTCTTACACATCACCTTTACAAGTCTTGAGATTAGCAGAATAG